ATGCTCCACCGAGCTCAGAGAAAGCCGGACAGAGGTGAGGTTGCGAACTGTCAAGGTCTTGAGCATTCTAGGATCGTGATAACAATGTAGTAGGATGTTAGTAGGATTAGTCAAGGAGTGAAGGTAGAATTATTGGCAGAAAGAGACTACGGGTTTGGGAAGAAAAACTGTCAAAGAGTCGAGTGCAACCGCCAAACTGAGGTTGACGTTGGCGCTTGCCAAATTGACAGCGAGTATAGCAAACATGAGATGACTGCCCAGGGCAAATACATGATCGGAACAGCATCGTTAAAGCAGAGGTAAACGTTTGGGGTCGCATCATCGTAAAGGCACTCATCTATTTCCACGCCTCACCTCAACCCTGATAGTAGCAGCATGACCTTCAACATACGTCGCGAGAGCCCTTGTGCCCGCCACCAGGTCAACCTCTCTCTTCACCCATTCATCCTCCCCATCTGCCTCCGCCTCATCATCGCTACTGTCCCACCACTCCGGTCCACCATAAACCTCTCTTGAGCCAACCGGATCGCGCTCATTCGTCTCCAAGACCAATCTCAAGCCGAGCGGCGTTATCTTCAGTCGCTTGCCAACAAGCCCAAGAATTGTGTAAGTAGAAAACGACTTTGGTATTTGTTCCGTCCACGACTGCTCGTCGCCGCTGGGGAGTACACCGTTTGCCAAGGCAAAGGTGACCGAAACTAATCGCGCCGCCAAAGTGTTCGGATCGACAGCATCCTTCTTAGGTTTCTGCTGAAAATTCGGAGCGCCATACTCCTCGCAAAGATCTCGATAGCGAGGATGCTGGCCGATGACTCTTTCCTCCTGGCCTTCGGGTGCATTGGCCAACTCAACAGCAATCTGACCCAGATAGTACGTCTCAGCGTTCAGCCGCTCCTTTTCCGTGATCTTGCTGTAGTTCAGGTATTCCAGTCTCGGTAGACGAGCTATGGTGAGCATGTATCCGTCCTCTGGAGTCAATGGCTTGCTGTCGGCGGAGACCAGGGATTTGTAGAGTGGGTTGCCAGTAACACGAAGATGCTTTAGCGCAGGAAAGCTGCCACTGGTTGTGATAGTGTCGAAGAAGGCGAATGAGGAGATCTTGTTGTATGATAGGTCAAGTTCTTGGACTGGAAGGTGGATGATGTGCTCCGGATGAGCAAGGACAGATGAGATGTTGTTTCGTTTGAGGATGAGCGCGTGTAGGCCTTCCTCTGATGCAACTGCGACATCTCCAAGGCACACAAAACCGTTGTCGGAGAGGTCAAGTACCGTGATTCTCGAGGGCAGTCTGAAAGCTGGAGCCCTGTGGTATTCGTTGCCTGTGAGGTACAGTGTGCTCACGGAAGGAAAGACTTGAGAAAGAAGGAGGTCGAGCACGAAGTCGTCAATGAAGGTATTGGCCAAGCTCAGAGTCTTGACGCCTTCGATGCGAGACTCCGGCGAGTGAGGTGGAGGCTTGCCCAACAGGAAGCGGTTCCCAGTAAGAGTGAGCACTCTGAGCTTCGGGAGTAGCCTACACATGGCACAGATCTCTTCAAAGGTCTCAAACAAGTTTCCACTCAAGTCAAGCTCTGTGATGTCTGCACAAATTTGTGCTATCTCGACCTCGTCATCCGCAGTTGGGTGCCGATGTTGAACCCGCATGTGATCAAGAACGAGGACATGGATGCCTCGGAGCTTTGCCTGCCGCTTATGGAACTTCTCGAAGCCGATCTCCTCGGCTTGCTTGCCGTTGAAGTAGACGATTTCGACATCCGTTGGGAGGAACTCGGGCATATACTTCTCCCGTAGTGCCTGGAGGAATGTTCTTGAGGGGTCCCAAGCCTGGGTTGGTCGTAGAAAGGAGGCACATTTCGGTATTTTGGATATACCTGTCTTGCAGTTCAGTATGAATCACGGAGTTTCTAGGCAGGGCTACTTACAACGGAAATAAATGACACCTTCATGTGTGCCATTGTGCTTTCCACGATCTGGTTCGTCCCATTCCACACCAAGCCATATTCCTGGCTTGTCTGCTACCTGCCCGATCCAGCGTATTGTGAGAATGTGGCCTTTGAGGGATAGCCGCTCGCCCAAGTAGTGATCGCGGCCATCACTATCGTTGCTCATGTCGAGTTCGAAGTATCGAACATTGTGTTCGGAGAGCAGGAAGGGCATATGGCGCTAATGAAAGTGTGGCGCAAGCTTAAATTGTGCAGATCAATATTGAGATTCTTCTCCGCTCGAACACTGCTTCCATCAACCACCAACATGGACTACCAAAACCGCGCAGGCAGCAAGTTCGGCGGCGGTGGTGTCGCATCACAGTCCGCCACCAACGCCGACCGCCGCGAACGCCTGCGAAAGCTCGCGCTCGAGACCATCGACCTCGACAAAGACCCATACTTCTTCAAAAACCATGTCGGCAGCTTCGAATGTCGGCTCTGCTTGACAGTACACCAAAACGATGGATCATATCTCGCACATACGCAGGGTCGCAAGCATCAAACCAACCTTGCCCGACGAGCAGCTAAAGAGGCGCAACTCGGTCGCAAGAAGGATGAGGAAGGCTACACTGGCGCGAATGCGATTCAGGTGAAGAAGAATGTTGTCAAAATCGGACGGCCGGGCTACAAGATTACGAAGACTCTCGATCCTATCACACGGCAGCAAGGATTGCTCTTTCAACTGCAGTACCCGGAGATCAACCCCAACACTCTCCCCAGGATACGATTCATGAGCGCGTACGAGCAGAAGATTGAAGACCCGCCGGATAAGTCGTTCCAGTATCTCCTGGTTGCTGCCGAGCCGTATGAGACTTGTGGATTTAAGCTGCAGGCGAGGGAAGTGGATCGGAACGAGGATAAGCACTGGACGTGGTTTGATGCGGATAGGAAGGAGTTCTGGATTCAGGTGACTTTCAAGACGGAGCGCGAGGAGAGATACTCGGGTGTGCCTGGGTTAGGAGGGCCGAGGAGGTGATGGGGTTATGGGTGCAGAAGTGAAAGTCGAACGAACATGACACGGCGGCTGCCAGATGCCAGAGACGTGCTTGAAGGCGCGAATGTGCCGCGGCATCAATGTACGTTTGAATAACGTCGTTGCCGACGACGGACGAACGACTGATGCCGCTCAACATCCAAGAAGATGACATTTGAGGCTGGAAGCGAGACCTTTGTGACGACGTAACTTGGAACCCAAGATATGTTGCAATACGCCGCAGCTCTGGCGTCCAGCAATGGGCCATTAGCATGGAAGGAACCCGCCGAACTCACGGATGACGCGCGAGAACGAGCACGGGTCGGGGGCGCGAGATCTAGCCGTTCATATGTTGTTTAAAGTGACAAGACAATGTTCGAGCCTATCTTCCCTTAGTGACATGTATCTCTGCTATAAACGTTCTCTCAGTAGTCGGTCGAGAGGTTGTAAGGGAGCAATATGTCATCAAACCCACGTAAGAGTGATCCTTGTTACCATTCCATATCGGCATGAAATCGGATGCCGGAGGAAGAGTGGGAAGAGAGGTGGAAAGAAAGTGGTGGCTTGTGCGGAAGAGCTTGCACCAACGCGTCCACCACCGCGTCCTCACGTGTCCAAACTATTCTACAAGTCTTAAAGGTCACATCAAACCGTTCAAAGTCGTCTTGACCTGTCTAACCTATCATCGGAACCACTGATCTCGGCCTCTCATCAAGCACAACCGCAACGATGCCGCCCCGGAAGAGCAACGTCTCTGTAGTGTCAAACGGTGCTGAGGAAGGGGGAGATGGCACGCCGGCGAAAGCGCCAAAGGATGGCATGAGTGTTGAAGTACGCTTTGAAACCACTACTCTGCGGAGCTATCACTGACATATCTCACAGGATCTGAGCCTGCCCAAATCCATGATCGGCCGCCTCGCCAAAGGAGTCTTACCAGCCAACACACAAATACACAAGGACGCACTACTGGCACTGCACAAGAGCGCTACAGTGTTTGTCAGCTACATCGCCTCGACGTACGTCTATTCTCTGCAGCATCTGCCTCTTCAAATTCTCCAAGTCTCTCGAATGCGCCAGTAATCATTGCCACAGCAGTGTGTGAGCTGACCCCAAAGACAGCTCAAACGAATTCGCAGCATCCGCCGGCAAGAAGACTATCATGCCACAAGACGTTATTGCTGCCTTGAAGGACTGCGAGCTGGAAAACTTCATACCTAGACTAGAAGCCGAGCTGAAGAGTGCGTGACACCCCCCTGCATCTCAAGACAGCCACTTCTCACCAACGGTCTTACTAACTGTTACAGGGTACAATGAGATGCAATGCGACAAGCGTAACACGTACCGCCGCAAAGTAAAGGAGGACAAGGCTGCCTCTGCCCCCAAGGACGGCGAGGAGGGTGACACGACTATCGAGGACGAAACCATCGAAGGAGCAAACGGCGCCGCTACGAATGGTCATGCGAATGGGGATGATGCTGATCGGCCTACGAAGAAGCTGAAGGGTGATGATGGTGCGGCTGTGGCGCCGGATGTTGATATGGAGGATGAGGACGATGCGGGAGATGAGGGGCAGGAGGATGACCAAGATGAACCAGATGACGGTGACGATGTTCATGACGGAGACGACGACGAAGAGAGTGATGGCGACGAGCAGGATCGCTCGCTAGAGGAGATTGACGAACCTCACACCACGGCCGCCGATCTTATGCCGGTGGATGAGGCGCTGGATGATCCGGGTAGCGACAGCGATTGAGCATTGCGAAGGGTTTCACCGCTTAAAGGTATACTGTCTGTCTTCTTTGCTTGGTGTTCTTTCCTTTGCTGGTATCGGAGGACAAAAGAAGGCATCTAAGCCAGCTCGATATAAGCAGTTCTCCATTGAATCTCTTCACGGTTTGACTCTCGTGCTGGACCTTGGATGGTGCGGGCTGGTCTGTTTCATGCCTTACATCTCTTGCCAGATGCTAGACTTATATGTACGGTTTTTGCGATATACGGGAAGATCCGTCTCTCGTTGCGCGACAAAAAATTGGAAAAAAAAAGCCCGGCTGGCGCAATGGTAGCGCGCCAGACTTCTACACGCCGAAATCTGGAGGTTGTGGGTGAGTCTATTCGACTATCCACCATTGCCTGTTCAAATATTGACCTCGCTTAGGTTCGAGTCCCACGTTGGGTGCAAATTGTTTTTGCGCTCATACAATCTTTTTACACTGGTGCTCTTCCTCATTAGCTTGGATGTATGGACCTTTTGGCCTGCGAGTGAACCATAAGCTAATTTGAATCGCATGCATATCTGTCGCATAACTACGCTACTGAATTCATACCACGCCCCTGAGCAGAGATACTGGATGCAAAACCCATCGCGGTAAACAATCTGGGGGTATATCAACGCGGAAAACACCACATGCAACCCATTGTGAAGCCTCCAATATGCCACGCTATGCAAGTATTATGCCTTCCCTCGACGAACGAAGCACGAACTCGCGATGCGGTAATGCAAGAATGAAAGGGCGAGAAATCCAGGGGTGGTCGTTATGCGTATATCCCGAGAGAAAGATTGCGTGACTGAGTTAGTCCTCCTGTGATGCCGTGCGCCAACAAAACTCCAGGTAGTAATCGTGTGGCGGTGTCGTAAGATCGAGTCGGTCAAGTATTTGCAAGAATCGAATCGTATTCAGCTGCTCTAGAAATGGAAGCTTGAGTTCCAACCCTGTTGCGGGTCTTCAGCAGCTCCAGGCATGATCCAGCCCTGGATGTCGGGCTGCTGACCAGCGTTTGACTGGTGGGAGTCCTGCCGATACCGCCAATCCTGCTGCAAGTTCCCGGCAACTCCAGGAGTTGGCCAGCCTTGCATGCCGGGCTGCTGACTAGCGCTCGAAGAGTGACAGCGGAGGTACTACTGATACCGCTGCCAATCCTGCTGCATATTCCCAGCAGCTCCAGGGGTAGACCAGCCTTGCATGCCGGGTTGCTGACCAACGCTAGTCTGCATGTTGAATTGCTGTGGACTGGGACTGGGCTGATACATGCTGCGGTTCATGCCTGCGAAAGCAGCGGGATTGTTCATCTGGCCCATTTGCTGGTAACTCAGCTGCTGCGGCATTTGAGGCGGGCCCATGGGTGACTGGTGATGCTGCTGTTGTTGGCCGTATTGTGAGACGTGGTGAGGTTGCGAGAGTGGTGAGGGTTGAGGCGGTGGCCACATCTGATTCTGCGGATAGCCGCCGTATGATGGAGTCTGCCTATGGCCCGATCCGGCGGCCATGGGTGTGCTCGGGTGGATCTGTCCTGGTGCTATGCGATGCATCTGCTGCACTGGCGATGCCATCGGGTTCTGTTGGTTTGGGTAGCCACCGTACCCCTGTGGCATCATCTGCGAGCCGGGATGCGACATCTGGTCCTGCTGGCCTCTGCTCTGGTTCATGCCGCCAACTGCTTGCGGTGAATGTAAGTGCTGAGGAGCTACGGTACCCATGTCACCATCACTCGGAGCTTGAGTCGTTGGCTGCTCGTGCGGCCGCTTCCAAACGTCATCGAGGAATTTCGAGCGATGTGCTCGCGTATGGCTGAGTTGCTTGTTGAACTCTGCGGCATGTGAGGCCTGATTCAGTATGTCGGTCGGGTTGCTCGACTGCAGTCGGTCTTGATATGCAGGGCCAACAACATCCTGCCTGGGTCGTATGACATTGCCGTAGCTGTTCGGCCGAACCTCGTCGCTCGGTAGATGTATCATCGGCAAGGGTGCGAGTGAGACCTGGCCCAGACCAGGAGGCGCACCATCCAAGCCAGGGCCGTTGCTGTATATTATCTCGCCTTGCGGAAGAACCATCGCCTGATGACTCGCCTCGGCAGCGGCAGCTTCCCTTGCTTTGGCAGCTCCTGGCCGCTTTTCGCCTGCAGCATCCTCTTCTGTAAAGCCTTGTTTCCTAGCCTTGGCTTCCCAGTAATCGTCTCGCACTCGCTTGCCACCCTCGATGAGGCGACTGCCGAATTGTCGAAACATGCTGCGCGCTGTGACAATTGCAATCTGCCGTGACCGGTACGAGTACGGCAAGATCTCCTGGTGGATAAGATTGTCCTTCTCCTGTTGGCTGGCGATGATCTTGTAGAGCGATCTGTTTTTGTTAAAAAGCAAGTACGAGTCTCGATAGCCTAACACTCGCGCGCACTCTGTCGCGAGCATGAATAGCTTTTCGCCGCGATCCGGTACCAAAAACGTGCGACACTTATATTTGCGATGCTCTCGCGGGTGTCCGTCCGGCGAGACTTTCATTTCGCCATCAGGATCGGTTTCCCGTGGTATGTACTCATCGCCACCGGGACCGAGTTGGTCTGTGGTGTGGTCGCGCACGGTTGGCAGTGCTTTCACCACGGTAGGTTTGGTAGCCGAGCCTGGAGTCGAGCGCGCTGGCGACGATTGATTAGGTGTACTGTGAGGCAATGCTTGCGTCATGATCCGGGGTGTATGCACAGGCTGAGCTGTCGCATACGCTGGTGGCTGTATTGAATGCGAAGAGTCGTCCTCTTGCTTCAGAGGCTTGCTTCGCTTGCTCGCCTGTATATCGCCCACTGTACCACCTGTCAGCGATTTATACCAATATGAGCCCACGTGCCTGCATGGATATATGTTGCGTTGCACCTCGAGGCTGTCAAACAAGATGTACGTACCACCACTGTCTTGACCACGGGCTCCGTCTCGTTCTGGTGAGCGCGCGCGTTTTGTCCCTCGTGGACTCGGCTGTGAGAGTAGATTTGGTGCGATGGTGGCTGCTACAGTGGTACATGACATGTTAGCATAGGCATGTCGAAGTAAAGTAGCGCGCAAGGATCGCAGCGGAGCCTTTGATAGCCTTGCGCAACACGCCCCACTGCGTTGCCAGGAGATTACTTACTTGAAGCATTCAACGCCGCTGGATTGATTGTGCCAGACTCATCCATGTCACCGTGGGGTAACGAGGCCAGCGATGAGAAGCTCCGATGCGAAACGGCCAGCATCACATCCCGCTACCTGGCATGCGCGCGCAATGCCTCAGTTGCTCGGTCGCACAAAGACCCGGCAGCCAGTGTAGTGGGCGCGACGAGATGCGCGCCGGTGGCGGTGAAGACGTGGAGAATCTCGGAGCCAGAGGAGTTGTGTCTCAGCATGGGTAGGTGGATGGGTGATGCTTGCGCGCGACGCAGGTGGCCTGAGTGGAGCGGCGATTCGTGGATTCGGCGGACCGCAGCGCTGCACGATCGCAATAGTCACAATAGACGCCAGATAAGCTCACAGAGGCTGTCGGTAGGGTGTGCCAAAGCCGGGGTGGTGGAGGTGTGGAGACGATGGTAGAGACGCAAACGCGATGCAAGGTGTAGCCTGCCTTGTCCAAGAGCGAGCCGGTCGGGTCGGGGCGAAGTCCGGATGACGAAGTGGGGGGGCTAGTGGCGGCTCACGTTAGCAACAATACTGTACTGCGACATTGTAGCCCACGTTGTCAACAGGCCCAATCTTGCAAAACGAGAGTATGTGATGGCGAAGATGCAGTTCGATGCCGTCAATGGGGTGATGTCAGGTACAGCCAAGGTTACACGTCCATCCAGATTAGCCGACAAAAATCGGCAAGGGATAATCTTCCTCTTCTACAGTACAGTAGCTCCAAAGTCGCGCGGGGAGTCGAGGCGATTCCATTATCTCGACATCTGATTCGACCGGTCCCGGAGGAGAAGGTCGCGAACGCTTGCAAGACGACTCACCTTGCCAAAGCCTAGAGAACCGCTCGAGAATCCTTTAATCGGCGCTCAGAAGCTTGAAGTTCAGTATACCGCCGATCAGTGACAAGAGGGTGTTGGTTCGCCGGGTCAGACTGAGGTAAGGCGCTGATGCAAAGTCGGTATGACAGATTGGGGAAACGCTTGCTTTCGAGCTCGTCGCTAATCGGGCCAGACGGAGGAATGCTAACTCATGAAGTTGCTTGTGCAGAGTCGTCTAGCTTTCGAACCGGCAAAGTCGTGGGTGGTGCATGAGCGCAGGTACGGCCAGCGAATTGTGAGCTCACAGCGACCGCAGCTCTTATGGCCTCGCGGTTCGCGACGAGATGATGTACAGCTGCAGGAGGGCTAGGCAGCTTCCGGGTAGCTCGATCGTTGCGTCAATCACGCGTTCGCGAATCTGGCCTATCGCGGCTGCTGAAAAGAGGTCGAGTAGAGATGAGTCTGAGAGTCTGAGTCTTGTCGATACTCAGACCGATATCTCTTGATCTCCCGGGTGGCGATGATTCGTGGTGACGCCGGGCATGAGGTGAAGTCCCAGCTCGACGGCGAAGTGGGGTTTCGGTACGACCACACTTCTTTCTTCTACAGGCACTCTTGCGATCACTCTCAAACACCGACGGCTCGAGCATCTACTATACAAAGCGCCCTGCGTTAATGCAAATTGCACTGCCCTAAAACGACCTCGCATCGGCTGGTGGATATTGAATAAGTATCCCTGGCCATTACTGGGAACTGCTCAGAACGAATCACTATGGACCTATCTATACCGAAGCTACTTCCTACCATGTACTCTTTGCCTTGGACGCGATGATTTTGTGCTGTATTGGCTGAAGCATCACTGTGGCACAAGGGCCTCGAATGCGGCCAGCCGAGCAAGCTCTCGCATGGCGTTCTGAGCTGCAGCATCCCACGCCCGCCGTGCCGGTCTTTCGGCACGCGTAGCCTTCTCGCGCGATCTGTGGCGCACTTTGGCAAGATGGGATTTCAACCCGGCCCCGATCACGATTACATTCGTACATGCCTTCAAGGCTATCTCGAGCTGAGGTGACGCCGAGAGGATTCGCAAGCTGACGACACTCATCCATTATCGTTCGAAAATATCCCAAGGATGACCGGTACGTACCCATTATCAGACGCAGATGACTTCTCGCAAGCGAACGAGGAAGCTCGGAGAGCTCGTCGAAGCTCCTACAGCCCGTCGATCCATGATCGTCAGCAGGCAAGCAGGAAGACGGCTCTGCTAGCGGCCCGCAGCAGCATGGGTCGATCGCACGGGCGACCAATAGACTGACCTTATACCTCGATACCAGCTTGATTTTATTGTATTGATCACAAGACTATACAGCTCGGTCTGCCTGCCGAGAGGCATCGCTTAGTATGCGTGTCATCGATTCGACCTGGATACAGCTTGCCCAGTGGATCAGT